TTATAATTCAAATTTTTTAAAAAAAATGTATAAACTATCTAAGGAAAAAAAATTTTTTTTTAAACTGTGCAAATTCTGAGTGAACTGCTGATAATTAGCAATAATAATAAAACAGTTTTAAAAATGCTACGCATTTTAATGAATTTAAAACAATATTTTTTAGATACTTTGTTCCACATGAAAAAACTTAAAAAATTGTTATAAAAAATCCAAATTAAAATTAAAAAAAATCAGCCCTCACTATTCGTATAAATAAAAGATAAGCATCTACGTTTGTCTCTTAAAACATTTCGCTAGTATTTTATGAAAAATGCTGCTTAAAATTGAACAGAAAGCTTGAGCATTGATTAGGATTTTTAATTTTTAGATCAAATTGACTTGCTAACTGAATTTTCTATAATTTATTTCGTTTTTTTTCTCTCTTTAATCTCTTACTCATAATTAAGAATTTTTATTCTTCAGTTGGGTTTTTGAAATGAGTTGTGTGATGCCTCTTCTAAACTACACTTTCTTCTCTTATTAAACAATTAAGTAATACAAGTACAAACGACACCGAAAACGACCTCAAAGTCCTAAAACTTAAGAACTGGAGGGGAGTTGCCATGGACAGAGGGAGCTGGAGAAGGCGTGCTGTTGAGGCAGCCAAGGCCTGCAAAGGGCTGCTGCGCTCCTGAAGAAGAAGAATACAAGTACAAAATTTTAAAGTCAGTTCCTTCTTAGGTCAACAGAGAAATTTTTTATTTTAGTCACTTCTTATTCAATAATTAAAATTTCCTTTCTTCCGTATAAAACTAAAATTAATTCATTAAATTTATTGAATGGCTTAATATTTGAAAAAAAAAACTGTATTAACATCGAGTGTTTTCCCCAGCAAGTTTAAAAAAATGTACTTGAACTCTTGAGTGGATGAATAAAAAGTATTTTATGAACATTTGAATAATAGAGAGAGAGAGTGCGTGAACTAATAGTAGGAATTGGGTATAATATGAAAAAAACACAACTACTTCCACTTCGAAAATTTTACTAGGAATAACATTTACCTTTAAATTGAATTAATAAGCAGAGTTTTAAATATGTTTATTAAATTCATAAACCTAGATAAAACAACAAAATAAATTATTTCAAAAGAAACTAGACTAATACAATTCTAACCTGGTGAGTAGTGACTTCTAACAACACACTTTGTTTAATGTTTATTTGTTGCTAGAAATCAGGTTCGCAGAAAAGTCTGTTTGCTAGTTAAATTTAGTAGGAATAACACGACCTGTGACGTAGGCTATAGTATACCCAATTGAAAAGAAGAAAAAAAAAGCAAAACGCGTGGTATCAGACAGCTACAAAAGTGTAATTTTGATGACGTGAACGACACGTGCAACCACGTAATGATCTTTATTGAATTTATTTGACATAGCGAATATTAAATAATTAAACGTTTAAATGTGGGCAATAAACTATTTTCTTGCTCAAACAGAGCTGTAAGTTAGAAGTGATCACTGATGTTATCTTTAAAATATGAGATGAACTGAATCGCTTATAGTAAAATTTAAAACAATGACGAACGCTTAACCTATCAGAAAATTCCATTTCGTTTTTTGCTTATCCCTTTTTAATGAATGAATTAATATTTGAAAAAACTATATTAACATTAAGTGTCATACACTAAATGTATATTTGTACTTGAGTGAATGGCTAAAAAGTATTTTATGAAAGATTGAAAATTGGAACAAGATAATAGGGATAAGGTGAGCTAATAGTAGAAATTGTATAGCAGCGAACAATTTGTTTATATGAGAAATGATTTAAAACAAGCTAATTAATTAATTATAATTCGTCACAAATGAGTACACAAATCTTGAAAAGGATTTAGCAATCACATATATTTCCAAACAAATATTAGACGAAAATGAGTGTTTGCACAGCGATCATAACTTTTTTTTTTCTTTCTAAGACCAACAAATTCATTATTTTTACCTTCTAAAACATCACTTATCTTTGTTCAAGTTATGAAGCAAAATTATTTTTATTTCGTTCATTTCTTTTTCAAAAATTTACTACAGCATCATCAATACTTTTTCTGTTTTTTTTTTTTTAAATTATCAAATGAGGTATTATGCATAAATAGCAAAAAATAATTTGAACACTAAAGAAGGATTGTCTTGTATTAATTTTTTTATAGCATAAAATTTCACCTTACCAAAATCTTGACGACGCAAACGATTTTTTATCATTTTTGACTTATGTCTAAAGTTCTAAAACTTTTTACACGAGAGTTCGAATTTTGAATAGCATTCATATATCACTTATAATTTGAGCACATAATTTTCAAAAAAAAAAAAAAAAAAAAAAAAAAAAAAAAAAAAAAAAAAAAAANAAAAAAAAAAAAAAAAAAAAAAAAGAAAAGAAAAGAAAAAAAAAAGAAAAAAAAAATGCCGAAATTTTAAAACTCTGCTAGAATTTTCATTCAAAAATTATGGTAAATTAACCGGCAACAGTCTGTCCATCCGATTAACCATAAGGTTTACTATAAGAAGCATGTTTTACCCTAGCTGGTTTTAAACCATTTACAACTAGCATAGCCTCAAAACCATAAAAACGAAATTAAACTGGGCATATAGGAACTAAGCTTTCCGTTAGGTAATGAGCATTGGAGAGTGCAGGAGATTGGAAACTCTTCATGTATTGTAAATAATAGAGGAAATAGCGTGATGTCAACGCTGTGATTCGAACCCCAGTTCTTTGGGTCATAAGACTGCCAGAATAGTCCTCTCGGCTATAATATGTTTCCGCAGTTGAAAGGAATTCTGGTTGTTAAATCATATTAGGAGAAAACAGTTAACAAACTGTATTTCCTCACAGTTAACAGTTTGATTACCATCTTATTTATGGTTATTTAACTGTTTCGTTTGAATATAGTAAAATAACAATTAAATAAATTGTTTTTTAACTATTTTTTCCCAAAAATTTCTAACAGTGTATTAGACTAGAAGAATAATCTATAATTTTTTTTAAAAAATGCATGGAAATGATAACACTCCACACATCGAGCAAGTTATTCAAAAACAGAAATTAATAACGATCGCTAACAGGTGTCATTTTGGATTGAGAAATCAACTGAAATCAGAGCTTGTTTCCTTTAAAATTAATTTAGATAATACTTTAATTAAACCTGTATTACTTTATGGCAGCGCCTTCCAATAAAACTGAGGAAAATAAACCACTCATTTTTGATAGAAAATTACTCAGAGCCACCTTCGGAGCTGTTGAGGAAAACAAATATTTATTGGATTCTGTACAATTATGAATTATACGGAACCAAACATAATTTCAGTTTTATTAAGTTCTATAGAATAAGATCATATCAATAGAAAGAATGAGGGTGTGACTCAGTTGAGAGGACCGCCATAACGAGGAAGAAACTTTTCGCCGCAAATTCTCCTTCATTACTAGTTTAAAACTTAAAAGAAAGAAAAAGTAAATTCAGTCA